GTTTGTGTGGCCACTGAACGTTGAGGAAGGCTGTTGGCCTCTCGGTGACAGTAACCAGAAAATAGGAAGGGGAGTGACAAGTGAGGCCCTCTCTATGATACAATGCGAGGCGGCTAGCTCACGAGTGGCCCAAGCGGTGTATGCCTCCGAGTGTGAGGCGGAGTGTTGGCCTCGCAGGACCACTAACCGAAGCGTAATTCAGAGAAAAAAGGGGGTAATACCTATTGGGCCCTAGAATCCTAATTGCCAGTATGCTATTACTATTCCAGGGAAGGTAAGAGATGGATAACTACATGAGCGGGTGTATCTACCTGGTAGTATGGTATTGAAACATAGAAACATAGAAACATAGAATGTGACGGCAGATAAGAACCATTCGGCCCATCTAGTCTGCCCAATTTTCTAAATACTTTCAAATACCCTAGTCTTATCTTATAGTTAGGATAGCCTTATGCCTATCCCACGCATGCTTAAACTCCTTTACTGTGTTAGCCTCTACCACTTCAGCTGGAAGGCTATTCCATGCATCCACTACCCTCTCAGTAAAGTAATACTTCCTGATATTATTTTTAAACCTCTGTCCCTCTAATTTAAGACTATGTCCTCTTGTTGTGGTAGTTTTTCTTCTTTTAAATATAGTCTCCTCCTTTACTGTGTTGATTCCTTTTATATATTTAAATGTTTCTATCATATCCCCCCTGTCTCGTCTTTCCTCCAAGCTATACATGTTAAGATCCTTTAACCTTTCCTGGTAAGTTTTATCCTGCAATCCATGAACCAGTTTAGTAGCCCTTCTCTGAACCCTCTCTAAAGGTATCAATATCCTTCTGAAGATACGGTCTCCAGTACTGTGTACAATACTCCAAGTGAGGTCTCACCAGTGTTCTGTATAATGGCATGAGCACTTCCTCTTTCTACTGCTAATACCTCTCCCTATACAACCAAGCATTCTGCTAGCATTTCCTGCTGCTCTATTACATTGTCTGCCTACCTTTAAGTCATCAGAAATAATCACCCTAAATCCCTTTCCTCATATGTTGAGGTTAGGACTCTATCAAATATTCTGTACTCTGCCCTTGGGTTTTTACGTCCAAGATACATTATCTTGCACTTATCCACATTAAATGTCAGTTGCCACAATTCTGACCATTTTTCTAGTTTACCTAAATCATTTGTCATTTGGCTTATCCTTCCTGGAACATCAACCCTGTTACATATCTTAGTATCATCAGCAAAAGACATACCTTACCATCAAGACCTTCTGCAATATCACTAATAAAAATATTAAAGAGAATGGGTCCAAGTACAGATCCCTGAGGTACCCCACTGGTGACAAGTTCAAGCTTCGAATATATTTAATTAACTACAACCCTCTGTTGCCTGTCACTCAGCCACTGCCTTACCCATTCAACAATATTTGAATCCAAACTTAAAGATTGCAGTTTATTGATAAGCCTTCTATGTGCAACGGTGTCAAAACTGACAATGCGTATAGGTTTTTTAGTAGTAACTGTAACCTGAATGGATAAAACCGTATGGCATAAGGAAATATGGCATAGACCAATCTTATCTTAATACGTACAGAATATGTGAAAAGTAAAGTGCCGTGATGTGTAAATATTAAACATCGTAGCCATACTGGTTAAATATGTATCAATCTTACCCATTAAGTGCTGTATGTACAAGTGAAGAAGTGGTGTGTCCCCACCTTGTATGTTGTATGTACCCTTGCTAGGGAAAAGTCTGTTGTGTGAGCAGCGTGCTGTGAAAAATGTATGTGAACTATATTACCAGTTACGTATATACAGATGCTTCTGTGTAATAATATGTGTATTTATACCAGATGTTGATATACTATTTGCTATGTGAATTGTTGTAGGTCTTATTGAATGGTGTTGCAAAATGCAAGTGCATGGAGATCTGCCGAGTGCCCTATAGGTGGCAGTGTAGTTGGTAACTGATTGGTATGTGAAATGTTGTTTGTCTGTTAACCTATAGGGGTCAGTGTTTTGGTGTTTGTAAAACCCCATGAAAATTGTCAATGTACTTGACAGACCTGTAGGTGGCAGTGTTGGTAGAACCACTGTTGGTCTTGATGTGAAATGTAAATTATTGTGAACTAAACCTGAATTTGAGCCTGTGCTGGAGTTTAATTTATGTGTATGGTTATGTTTAAAACAATCTTATGTGTAATTTATATTGGCTGGTAAATTGTATATGGCATGTGAAGACAGTTTTGCTGTTGACCAGTAAGGGTCAGAAATGCTGATTTTATGGTAAAAAATACCCTTTAATCCAAATGCAAGGTTAACGTTAGATTTTGAGAGTGACCTCTAGGGGGTCAGTGGGGTTTATGTGAAACATTGTTCGTGAGCTATGCCCCAGCATTATAGTTGTATGACAGGGAAACGAACAGTGCCCGTTCAACAATATACCATATGTGAACATAATAGCTTAATAACAGTCATTGTAACAAACCAAAGTTCTGTTCGTGGGTTGTAAATGCACGAAACGTGTGTGTAGTACAATAGTAAATGCATGAACTAGTTCCCGTTTGGTAGAAAATTGCACGAACCGTGAGCCTGGTATGTCAGGGCAACAAAACGAAACGAGCAGTGAGATTCGAAATGCATGTACAGAATTGCCTAGTATGTTTAGGCAATTGAAACAGAATGTGTTCCTGTTCGGGAGTATGCTAATGCTTGAAAAGAGCCAGTGTCAGATATAAACAAGTGAGTTTAAACGAATGATATGCATGAACATGCAATGGTTTTAGAACAGACTTAGACAAAATGCAGCCGTAAAGTGAGGACCTGACCTGTGCATGATGCCGTGGGACTGATGCCTGGCGTAACGGGTAGGTCGACTTGCGGTTTGTTAGTCACTTGGACACCATCCACGGCGATGGATTGAAGAAAGAAGGTGGTAGGCCGGAAAAGCCTGTGGATTCCTGACACAGCTCAGCTTAGAAAACCTCATGGAGTAATCAGGTAAAATGTCGTCTGGATGACCCGGAAGTGGAAATCATTCTGATGCTGACCTCAAGCGATATGGAGTCAGGTAAGGGGTGTCCCTTATATAGGGGAGTTAATTAATTTAAGCCCCTCCCACAAATACAGGCCAAACGGCCTTAATACATATATATATATATATATATATATATATATATATATATATATATATATATCCCTACAACTTATTTTAAAGCAGAAGTGTAGCAAATAAAGTTATTTCATTAAATGAATCACTTTTGGTCATTAATTATAATTTGTTTTAATGTTATAAAAAAAGTCACCTCTTTACTTAGGTTATGGAAAAAACAAACAAACAAACAAACAAAAAAGAACAGTGGCGTTGTGGTGTGACCACTGACTTTGAGCCACAGAGTGGGAAGTCACTGATATGATGAAGACTACTGTCTCCATTCTTAGTTACATATTTTTACCTTGTTTTCTAGGTTGAATGGAAAAAAAAATCATCAAATTCAATCTTGAAACCCAATCCTTTTTCTTTTGACCCAAATGAAGGTACTTCCATTTATGCCACAGAAAAATAATAATAATAATAATTTTTGACTCCATAATGGCAATCAGATTTCTCATTAGAACAACAACCTGCTTACACACATCAAGCCCTTTTTTTAAAATATCTATAGAATATCTATCTGTGGCGAAACTAACCTCGCCACTGGGCACTGGAGAAGACTAATTGCCGGTCTCTTGCCATGTGACTATGGCCCCTGGGAGACTTTGCCAGTTAAAAACATTATTTGGACTTATTGGTGTTTAAAAGACTGTTCTGGCCCTTTAATTGGAACTGGCACAATTCTACACCTTTGATTCCCTGGGAGAATGTGCCTTCTCCTGTCCCATTGTCCTCCAGCAGGGCATTGTCCCAAACCAGTTTATACTGGCTGCTTTGTCCCTCCTCAATCTCTATATCAGCCCTTGCTAAACTTAAACCCCATGGCGATTTGACTGTGTTCGTGGGATCTGAGCGCTGTTCGGATATATTGAGCATTCAGATCCAAGCTATCTGGGGATAGGTTGAATGTGGGGGTTCTGTTCAGTATGATAGGAATTATGTATTTTTGTGTATTTTTGCAGTTGTTGTAAATAGAGATATTTTCTGTACCTGAAGAGAATTGGCTTACCACACCCAAGCCATGCATGCAGTCGGTCAAAAAGGGCTTCCGGCTAACTTTTTAACCACTGAAGGGAATTGTATGATTTTGAGTATGTTTGTATTTGGAGTATGCTGATTCTGAAAATGTAAGTTTTTATGTGAATGTGATGTATACTTTTAGAGTTATGAATATTGGGTAAAACTGTGTATTTTCCTGGCTGTGATAATTACTTTAGCTCATTTATATCACAGGCAGAGGGGAGGATTTTGCTGTAATGAATGGGAGTGTCAGATATTGTTGTATTGTTTTGATTGGTTTGTGTCCGTTGTATGCCTGTGTACCATCAGGTCCAGGGGGTGTGCCTCTGGCCTGGGGAATTGTATAAATTGTGAGTCCTTGCTTCCATTAAACAGATTCCTCCTTTTTTTTGGTCCTCCTTAATAATGTTGTAGCTCTCCTCTGCACTTTTTTCTATCTGTAAAACTGGTGCCCAAAATTTCACAAGTTGGATGGGACCAAAGATCAGCTACAA